ATAGGGGGGCGATGGTGTTGTTCTTGAGGTAGAACCACTATGAATGCCACCTCTTGTTGGAGGCCGATAGCCGCATCGACGGGTACTCACCAACCCGGTTGTTCCGGAGGTGGATGCCGGCGCATCCCATCGGCGTATGCAGCTCCTGCCTGCCGCTCTTCTCCCTCTTCTTCTAGAGGGTGACGGCGAAGAAGTGCCACCACAGATCGAAGTAGGGACTAATCCCGTGAATCCCTTGTACAGAGCGACGAACGCCCCATGTGTTGGATCCTATTGGGATTGATGTGCTGCAACTCGATCTTGTAGTAGTGCAGTAACCCTTGAAGAAATCTGTGGGCAAGGGTAGCGAACCCATGGTCATGTAAGTGCGCGAATGACACCACGTAGCCATCGGGCGGCGACAACATCTCCTCCTCGTCGGGCAACAGCCACTCCTCGGTCGTGGTCCGTGGCGGAGAAGGCCACGATGGATGAGGCCCTCCATATGCTGGAAGGTGATGTCAGAGCGGCGCCACAAATCCATTGGAATATGGGGGCGGGTGGATGCGAGCTCGACGGTGGCTGGGATGCGGAGACGGGAACCCTAGGCGATTGGTGGTGGCAGTCGTGGCTCTAGAGGCAAGGATGCAAGGTATTGAACCCTGGGGGCGAACCCTTGGGTTTTATAGGATCGACGGATGTGAGGAAATCAACAGTCCGCCTAAATCTCCACGCCTGCCACAATCCGCCACAACATCCCACTGTGGGAAGTGCGCACGTAATCCCTATCCTTTCCCTTGAAAGACTCACCGGACATTTCGCCTCTCCGAGCAGGCCACGACTTATCACAAGCAAGAGGAATACGAATCAAAAAACACCTCTACGGCCCATCTAGGCCTAAGAGTTCGAAGGTTGGCCCATCAACAGGTTCGACAACCACTCCAGGCACCCTTACGACAAGGGATGGAAAGGGATGGGCCCGCAAGCAGCCAGTACCCCAGGAGCACGAGCGCCACGGGCATCTCGGCCCACGATTGAGTCTCAACCAGGCTGACCCTAGCCGGATCCCCGCGAACGGGATGTCGGGATCCCAATCGAACTATCTAGCTAATGAACCACAAAATCTCACGGCCATACCTATAAAGGGTCCGACCTCTACAAGAGGGAATCACCATCCCCAGGACATGCCATGGACAACAAAAGAAGGCCAGGGCCCTCAGAGTCCTCCCTTTTAAAAAAATCTCCGAAGGAGTATTCTACTCCTCCGCAGGCTCGGGGGTCTACTATCGGGGACTAATACTAGGGTACCCAAAGAGGAGGAGCTAATAACCATCAATGTTGATTCATCCGAGCGGTCAAGAGCGCAACTATAGCTCTTGTCGACCATCGAGGCCATGGGCTCCGCCTTGTCCGACCCCTGAGGGTGGCTCCGCCTCGCCCGATACTGAGGTCGTGGGCTCCGCCTCGTCCGACCCTCGAGGGTTGGCTCCAACTCCTACCGACCACCGAGGTCGTGGGCTCCACCTCGTCCGACCCCCGAGGGTTGGCTCCAGCTCTTGCCGACCACCGAGGCCACGGGCTCCATCTCGCCCGACCCCTGAGGGTGGCTTCGCCTCGCCCGACGTCTGAGGGCTGGCTCCGCCTCGCCCGATCCCTCGGGTACGGATCCTAACGGGAGCTCACGCCGCCGCCAATCACAACGGCGCAGAAGGTACAGCCCAGGGTCAAACTTCTGGCATCGTGCAGGGAGCGGTCACATCTCAACACGATCCGTCCCCGCGACATGTCATTCCAGGGAACTCACATCGCCCACAGTGACGGACGTGTGGTCACTATGCTGCCTACTCCTTGTACGACCGCTGATCAGCACGCTGATTCGCCGCACCGCCCGCCGGGGCGGAGTGGGACGTGACTACCCGCTGACAATGCCAGGGCATGGCATTGTCAGCGGACAAGTGCTGGCGTGGAGCTATCCCTGTCACCACCTGTCGTGTCAGCGGGGCCTGCACAGAGGAAAAGAAAGGCCGGACAACCTTGAAGGACTTCATCTGCCTCTCGTTCTCCTTTTTCCTCCTATTGTAACTCGTGCTTTCCCTTAGCCTACCAGTGATACATGGATGGCCATGACCCATGCCGTTAGCAATCTGCCGAACAGCAGACGGTTAAATAAGCTCAAGAAGTTCACCACGATCCAAAAACGACAAGAGAAGTCGTAGCCGATGATCCTCTCCTTTTGACGTGCTCATAACCACCTCGTAACTCGTGTTAATCCCTGGTTCAGCTTCGGCCGCGCGAAAACAAAACAGCTTCACCTGACGCTAACACCGCCCACGACCACTTCATGCACACGTACACGTACGTCGCAGCAAGACGACGCCACGATGACCAAAAAGCCCAAGCGTGACGCCTTCCTCCAGCTGAAAGCGATAGGAGATCGAGAGCACGGCGCGCGATGGATGCATGGGCACGTCCCCGTCAAGCGAAGACCGGAAGACGCCACAGGAAAATCTCTCTAGAATTTGCACCGGGACAGGCCACACCCACACGGGACGAGCCGCTTCTCGCCCATACAACTGTTCCGCCCGGCCGCGCGCAATCATGTCGGCGGAAGACGGGAAGAAGGCGTGGCCAACAGTCCAAATGTCCAATGCAATAGGGGCCGCCGCGTCCGTCGGCCGGTGTGAAACGGGCCAGGCCGATGCCCTTCTGGCCAGGCACAGGCACACGCACCGTCCCCCTCGAGCCTCGAAGCGTCGAGTGCCCGCCCAGCTTGCCATTCCGCCGCGCACATTTTTGCAGGGCGGGCCCTGCCCAGCTGCCTTGCCCTGCGTCCGCGGCTGTGGGCCGTGGCCGAGGTGTAGCGTAGCTGGCAATCTGGCATCGATCGTTTGTAAAAGCCGCCAATGCAGGGTGCTCAGCAGTTGATTGCTAGCCTCGGGCCTGGTTTAGATTGAAAAAAATTTCAACCCGATGAATAGTAGCATTTTCGTCTTATTTGGTAAATATTGTCCAATCGTGGACCAACTAAGCTCAAAAGATTTATCTCGTGATTTCCAACTAAACTGTGTAATTAGTTATTTTTTTTACCTACATTTAATGCTCCATGCAAATGGCTAAAAATTGATGTGATGGAGAGAGAGTGAAAAAACTTGGAATTTTGAGGGTATCTAAACAAAGTCTTGTTTAGATTAGGTTAGGAATCAATATTCGACACTGTAGCAAATGGTCTAACTAGGCTCAAAAGATTCGTCTCGTAATTTATAATCAAACTATGTAATTAGTTATTTTATATATATATTTAATACTCCATGTATGTGTCCAAAGATTTGATGTGATGGAAAGAGAGTGAAAAAACTTGGAATCTAAACGAGGCCTAGTAGTGCTGTAGTTGTTATACTTGCTACGGGACAGCCGGACAGCGCAGACCGTGCGCGTTTAACTGGCACAACAGGAACGCATACATTTTTACTAGCTAGGCAAGCACATACTCCTCTTGCGTATGAACGCACTGTCGTTCTTGCGAGGTTTCGTCCGTACACGTAGTGGCACTCCTTTTCCGTCGTGTGGAAGGCGAAGGCATTTTCTTTTTCTTTTTACCGGTATCATGGACCGGCCGGGGGGAAGATAAGAAGAACCTTATCGCTGGATGGAATGCGGCGTCGTCAGAAAGGGACGAGGGGGACAGATGATGCGAGGGGGGGACGCGTGTCCTGCATGTAGGACGTAAACTTGCTTAATCGCGAGCCCCATGAACGTTTATAAACAAATCCACTGGTATGTTGCGTACTCTAGTCTGGTAATTCGATTCCTACACGTCGCGCCGCCTCCAAAGACGTAGGTCCCCGTCACCTGTTCCCGTTCATGTCTGATCAGGTTCACAGACGCACTACAGCTAATCGATCGTCCGTTTCCTGCCAAACAAAACAAGGGCTAACCGCGTAGTACTCCAGTAGCAGTGCAGTCCAAACCCAACTCATGCACTGCCACTGTATGAATATCATGACCAGTGAGGGCCACGAGACCGTGACAGTAGCCGAGAAACGGACGTGCCAGTGGTGCACTGGGTGACAAAGCCGGGGTTAATTTGACGTTTGACACGATCACACGAAAGCCGAAAGCAGAGATCACATGTTGCGCGTGGGTTTCCACTTTCTACTAAACCGGTGCTCAACCGTAACCCTTTCGCTCTCTTTTGCCCGGGTCCTTGGTTAGAACATGGCCGGCGATAATGCGAAATCCTGGCGATTTTACCTCTAATCGCGGCCGTGAGAACGATAACCACGACGGCTTCGATGGCAATGCCGTGAGAAACACTACCATTACCCGCAGCGTAGTGAGCAATGACGACGGTCCCACCGCCGGAATGCCGATCCACCACCACCGTTGATTTTTGTAAGGACGCAAACCTGCCTCGTTAACGACACTTCGTGACTGTCACTCGCTAACTGGGACACGCATTCCCGCTTCCACGATCCGCGCCGCCAGTCTCGCGCACGGCGGCACGCTCACGGCCAAAATCACGCTCCCAAATCTTTTTGATCCCCACTAACCCCAATTCTCTAATCGCACCTCGTAACGAACCCCTGCCACGCCGCGCCACGTACGCGACGTGCCCACCCAACCGGGGTGGCCTGCGCGGGTGGCGGGTGCGGCGCTCGGTCGCAGTTGCCACATGCCAGTGCGCGCGCCCCCACGACACACGCTGACCACACGGTCCCGGCGCCCGGCCCGATGCGAGTTGCGAGGCAGGCTGGACAGGCATAATAAAGGCAGACGAGCGTTGGAGGCATGCGGCTGCTCCACGTTGTTCCGGAACTTTCCGCTCCGCCGTCCCGCTCCCGCGAGCAGCACCGCCAGCATAAACCGGCAACGCGCTATTAATCCAGCCCACCCACAACTCATCACTGCGAGCCAAGTATAGCAGGCGCGGAACGGAAAGTGGGGCGAGCGGAGTAGCTGCGGTGTCCATCTATCTCCGGGTTCAGCGTTTGGGCCGGTTGCCGGCGGCGACTGGCGAGGCCATGGACCAGGCGCAAAGCAAGAGTGGCCTGCGGTCGCACGGGTCCGGCGGCAAGGCCTCCTCGCGGCCGGGGTCGGGGACGCTGGGATCCCTGGAGGAGCAATCGATGCTGGCCGACCGCGGCGGCGACCGCCGAGAGGTCGTCGTGAAGATCGATGGGAACGGGAACGGGCGCGCACCGTTCTCATTCCATGGCGCGGACGCGGCCGGCGACGGTGGCGGGGGGAAGGCGGGGAATGCTACCTCCGGCACGAACTCCACGGCGACCACGCCGCGGACCGAGAGCAGGCCAAGGTCGAGCGAGACCAGCTCGCCTCGGTCACCGGCCAAGGTGTGGCGGGAGGGGAGCTACGAGTTCTGGAACAATAATGGTGGCGGCGCCGCTGCCCCGGCCGGCGCCAACGGGCGCCCCGCCGCCACCGAGGCGTTCAGCTTCAAGAACCGTCCGCCGCAGGCGTCTTCGCCTTCGATGTCGCCGCCGCAGCAGCAGCCGCCGGAGGGCGGCGGAGGCGTGGACCCGCCCACGCGGCTCATCGCCAACTTCCTCCGGAAGCAGGCGGCGTCCGGCGGGGAGATGTCGCTCGACCTCGACCTGGAGATGGAAGAGCTCGGGAGGACGGCGCAGCTGCGCGCGCACCCGTCCTTCTCCAGCTCGCTCGAAAGGGACGGCCGCGTCTCGTTCCAGGAACCCCAGAAGCGGCACTCCACGTCGTCCTGCTCCTCCGATTCCGACACCGACGACGGCCGGAAGCGCCGCGGCGACGACGGCCAGGTCGTTCGGTGCACGTCCTCCTCTACTGCTGCGGGAGCGGGGCCGTTGTTGCGAGTCAAGACGCGCTCCCGGCTAATGGACCCGCCGCCGCAGTCGCAGCCCGCGCCGGCGCCGGCGCCGGCATCGGCACCTGCAGCGTCTCCTGTCTTCGACGAGGACCGGAGATCTTCAGGCGTGCGGACTCCTACAAAGTCCGGCCGCCTCTTCTCCAGGCTTATGTCCGGCAACAAGTCCAGCCCCATTGGTGGCAAGTCAGGTCCCATGGACGACGAGGAGGACGACCCATTCGTGGACGAGGACATCCCCGATGACTTCAAGCGTGGGAAGCTGGACGCTTTGACCGTCTTGCAGTGGCTCGGCTTGTTCCTCATCATCGCGGCCTTGGCTTGCAGTCTCAGCATAAAGATCTTGTCCAGGAAGAAAGTGCTGGGTTTGCACCTCTGGAAGTGGGAGCTCCTCGTGTTCGTGCTCATCTGTGGCCGTCTCGTCTCCGGATGGGTCATCAGGATTGCCGTCTTCGGTGTCGAACGCAACTTCTTACTGAGGAAGCGTGTGCTCTACTTCGTGTATGGCGTGCGCAGCGCCGTGCAGAACGCGCTCTGGCTCGGCCTGGTGCTCGCCTCTTGGCACTTCTTGTTTGACAAGAACGTCCAGCAGGAGACGAACTCTCCGGTACTGTCCTATGTGACGAAGATCCTATTCTGCTTGCTTGTTGCCACGCTCATCCGCCTTGTCAAGACATTGCTGGTCAAGGTACTGGCCTCGTCCTTCCATGTCTCCACATACTTTGATCGGATTCAAGAGGCATTGTTCAACCAATACGTCATCGAGACACTCTCTGGGCCGCCACTAGTGGATGAAAACCATGTGCTTGAGGAGGTTCATGAGCTGCAACGTGCGGGCGCAACTATACCAAAGGAGCTGCGCGATGCAGTACCAACGCATGTGTCTGGGCAAAGGAACATTCAGTTATCAGGGGTCATGCCTAAGGGAGAAGGTAGCAAGCAGCTGTCGAAGGAGAAAGGGGAGGGGATCTCTATTGACGCGCTTCATAAGCTCAACCAGAAAAACATCTCAGCTTGGAACATGAAGAGGCTGATGAGGATTGTTCGATTTGGGACGTTAACGACTATGGATGAGCAGATACAACAGGCAACAGGTCAGGGGGATGAATCAGCGACACAGATACGAAGTGAATATGAGGCAAAGATAGCTGCCAAGAAGATTTTTCACAATGTAGCAAAGCCAGGTTCCAAGTAAGTCTTTCTTTGTTATCTGAGTTAGATGTTGCAGGTTCCATTATTGCAAGTCTTTTTGTTTAGTCATGATTATATCAACAAATAATTTTTTTCGAGACCGTGCCTCTGTGGCATGCATTTCATTAAGAGGAGGTAGAGTTTAAAGTACAAACAGTCGTGGTAAACCGCAGGTTACCAGCACAGCGCCACAAATGAAGTTTTATGGATGTAGAGAAATCAGGTTGCGATATAAACCAATGATGCAATTATTTCTTAAATATGCTGTTCCAGTTGCCGTGATAGTATTCTGCCGTTGTCTAATGTTACATGCAAATATGAACTGCAGAAGTTCAAAGAGTTATTAACCAAAATGCACCTGCTTCGATAGTCCAAATGTTGAAGTTCATAGTATAACAGCACGTTGCTCTCATTCAGATTATTGATTTTGAGTGTGTGAAACATGCAGGTACATATACTTGTCAGACTTGATGAGATTCATGAGGCAGGAAGAGGCTGTTAAAGCAATGAATCTTTTTGAAGGAGCACAGGAGCACAACAGGGTCAGCAAGAGGTCTCTCAAGAACTGGGTGGTAATGATCTTATCACTGCACTTCACAGTATGGGGTCATAACAAGTTCTCGATATGACTTAACATTGCCGTATGGATTTTCTGTAGGTGAATGCATTTAGAGAGCGCAAAGCTCTTGCCCTTACACTTAATGATACAAAAACTGCAGTAAACAAGCTGAACCAGATGGCTAATGTCGTTGTGGGGATCATTGTGTTTGCTCTCTGGCTTCTTATTCTGGGAATAGCAACAACACATTTCTTTGTCTTCCTCAGTTCACAGCTTCTCCTAGCAGTTTTCGTATTTGGGAATACACTGAAGACACTTTTTGAGGCAATTGTCTTCTTGTTTGTGATGCATCCGTTTGATGTTGGTGATCGTTGCGAAATTGAAGGTGTTCAGGTAGTTGAAATCTCCTTGCTCTTTGTCCACCAAATATATCACTGCAGTCGTTGGCTTAAGTTTTCACTACCTTGATTTCAGGTGGTTGTTGAGGAAATGAATATCATGACAACGGTGTTTCTCCGATATGATAACCTGAAGATATATTATCCAAACAGCGTGCTTGCAACAAAACCAATTATGAATTACTACAGAAGTCCTGATATGGGAGAAGCAATTGACTTCTCCATTCATGTTGCAACTCCTGTTGAGAAACTGGCCCTCATGAAGGAACGACTACTGCGGTATGTATCCTTCTCCATCAGTTGTTTTGTTCAATCAGACTTCCCAGGAGAGTCGACAGTAGAGAGGGGCCAGCACTAGGCCCTGGCTCAGTTTAAAGAGGGCTTTTATCTGAAAACCTTTCAAAGTAAACATGTTTTGAAAAATATCAGTATGAAGCCAACAAATAATTTGCAACTGGAGTATATAGATTCAGACCTAGTTTGCAGCTAGTAGATCATACAATTCATCAAAGCATACATGATTTAGTCTATTTTACTACACTGAACTAATTATAAGTTCCGCTTGTATTTCCAGCTACATTGATAACAAGAAGGAACACTGGTACCCGGGTGCTATGGTTGTACTCCGGGACGTCGATGACACCAACAAACTGAAAGTATCAATATGGCTGCGGCACACGCTCAACTGGCAGGACATGGGTATGCGGTTCGTGAGGCGAGAGCTAGTGCTCCAGGAGATGATCAAAGTCCTGAGGGACCTTGAGATTGAGTATCGGATGCTGCCACTTGATGTGAATGTTCGGAATGCGCCTGCAATTCAGTCCACAAGGATGCCTACAACATGGAGTTATTCGTGAAGCGGTGACAGGACCGGACCATTTGGCCGTGACATTGCAGATGAGGACTTGCTTTCTTCCTCCATGGATCTTGGTGGCAACGCAAGTGGTTTAAGCTGCAGGTGCTTGGTGTGCAAATAGAGGTAGAGAGTAGCATGTTAGTATGTAGAGAGCTGTTAGCTGTGCCTGCAGTCGTCACTTGTGCGCCTTGTAATTACTGTACTCTCTCTTGCGTGATGATAATTTTCTGTACATTTGATGGAAAATTGACGGCTTGGAAAGAGAAGTAATTCAAGATGGCATGGTATTGTGTACGCAACTGTAACCTGCCTGATTCCCAGTTGCCATCACCGCTGACTGTTGTGATTGTGAAGATGCTCGGCTCATCGGCCCGGCCGGGCGCCAAAGCAGAATGGATGGAACGAGCATGCCGGGTGCGACAGCGACAACGAAGATGCTTTATCTGGGTGCGCATTGCGGGATGGTGAAGAGATGGCAATGTAGTGCTCTGTTCTATCTGTGAGTTGTGACGAAATACCTTGTATGCTGAACTTCTTGCAGAATCCAAATTCAGAATATTAGGTTTGGCGAGGTGAACCTCACATTTCTCATTCGAGAACTTGCGATTTTACACAAAAACGGATGTTTTTCAGTTTCATTTAAGAGCTTAATCTATCTATCTACCATGGTGGTCAATTCATCCAAACTTAAACAGCAGAAGAACCGAGTGGTTGCATGAGCATGATTGAAGAGGGATATTGGTATTCTACCTGATAGCCTATTGCCCCCGAGGAGAAAGTACATGATCTTTGATAGTCTCCCAAGTTGGCTTGGAATGCTTCCAACAAGTAGATTGTCAGTAATATGGAGTATTTCAAGGGAACTTAAGTTGCCGAGTGTTTCAGGGACGATCCCGGTGAAATTGTTCAGGGAAAGCTCCAGAACAGAGAGACGTGAAAGCAGACCTATTTCTTTGGGAACACTGCCATGCAGGGAGTTCCCATACAAGTCAAGCTTTCTAAGTTCAGAGCAATTTGAAATTCCATCAGGGATTATGCCCTGCAAAAGGTTGTTGCTAAGGTCAAGGACTTGCAGCTTGCGCAGATGCGCGCAGAGAGGCGGTAGCTGCCCAGTTAGGCTGTTTGTGGATAGGTTAAGAGCAACGAGGGATGTCAGATTCCCAAGAGATGGCGATATGTGCCCCTCCAAGCTCTGAGCAGAAAGTTGGAGCGCTGCAACACGCCTTTGTCTTTGTGGGATACTATCAGTATCTGGAGTACATGTGACACCCTTCCATCTGCAGAAGTGGACGCTTCTGTTCCAGGAGCTCAAGACCCTTGTTGGATCCTTGGTGATTGCCTGCTTGAAATCAAGCAGCGAAAGGAGGTCGCTGTTGTCGTTCGGCCTCAATACTGCGCAATCGCCATTGCTAGCACTGTAAGACAGCAGCAACAAGGCGCATACTACAGACAGTATGTCTACTTTCAAGGACTCCTGTGCACCCATATGTTACTCTTGGGTTGGTTGGTACCTTTTTCTAACCAAACTGTCTGCAAAAGAAAAAGGAAAAAAACTGATGATGGTCCGATATATGCATGGAGTGATTTATTTTGCTTCGCAATTTTCACTAGGAAAAATACTAATGTTTAATCAGTATATGCAATTATGCAAATTCCATCACTATATATATAGTCTGAAGACATTTGACAAGTTTCGCCACAAATTAAGAAACAAACAAGGGGAAATTAAAGGAGAACGGGCGTGCATGAAGTAAAACGCACCTGGGATAGTATTCGACTTGACGGCTTGGCAGATGGGAGACAACCTAGGGTATGAACTTCCTTGAACCCCTGGATGGATTATGCTGGAGAATGATGCATGGACGCATGGTGTAGTTGCTTCGACTTCCACCCGTCCTCCGAAGTAATTAAACTATATATATACGTGGATCATTTGCCAATGCATTCACACGAGGCCTTTTTGAATCCTTCAAACTAGCAGCAGTCTCACTGACCTACCGTCGATCTGTGAGTTGTGACGAAATACCTTGTATACTGAACTTCTTGCAGAATCCAAATTCAGAATATTAGGTTTGGCGAGGTGAACCTCACATTTCTCATTCGAGAACTTGCGATTTTACACAAAAACGGATGTTTTTCAGTTTCATTTAAGAGCTTAATCTATCTATCTACCATGGTGGTCAATTCATCCAAACTTAAACAGCAGAAGAACCGAGTGGTTGCATGAGCATGAAGTGAGTGAGACCTTCCGTTCATTTACCATTTTGTTTTATTAACTTACTAAAAACATCAAACCCAGTTTCGAGTTCTAAACATCTAATGCTGGCACTGGGATAACAATTCTCTATATGAACCAGCCCCCGAATTACGAGCTTCAGAACATCTAGATAAAAGAGGGATTAGATCTATGCCAGATAAAGCTCTCACCAAATTCCTGGACCATTTACATCTCACTAGCTCGAAGCCTTCAATGTTCAGTAGCAACTGCGATCGTCCACTCTATGGAGTTGCCGCTGCACCCTGGAGCTCAAACCCTCTCTCCACCGCGTAGTCCACGAAGCTGTATAAGGGCAGCACTCGATCGCCATACTTTTCCGCGAACCTGTCAGCCTCTGTCTTGGCCTGAGCCTTGAGCTCCTCCACAATGCCGAGCGCGCGGTCCATCCCCAGGGAGCGCAGGACGCTGGCGTTGCTCCTCATCTTGCCGTTTCCCGACGCGCTCCGAACGTCGTCGACGAGCTCGTACAGAACGCCGATGGTGCGGCCGTAGCGCCGCAGCGCGGCCTCCTCGTCGGGCCCGGCCCCACCGAGCATGGCGCCGCAGGCGGCGGAGCACTCGGCCATCTCGCCGAACTTCTTCGTCAGGACCTGCATGACCTCGGCCTCGCCAAGGGCGGTGGCGCCGGCCAGATCCAGGAACTGGCCGGCCGCCATGCCGGTGGATCCGACGGCGCGCGCGAGCTCCGCGAGGACGCGCAGGAGGACGGCGTGGGGGACCGGGTCCGGGGACGGGGTGTGGGAGATGACGTGGGTGTAGGCGAGCGGGAAGAGAGCGTCGCCCGCGAGGACGGCCATGTCGGTGCCGTACGCCGCGTGCGTAGACGGGCGCCCGCGTCGCATCGGGGCTGCGTCGAAGCAGGGCAGATCGTCGTGCACGAGCGACGCCGCGTGGAGCATCTCCAGCGCCGCGGCGGCCGGGAGCGCGGCCGCGCGCGGGCCGCCGAGGAGCTCGCACGCGGCGACGCACAGCACGGGGGGCGCCCGCTTGGCGGCTCCCTCCTTGCCGGCGCCCGGGAGCACCGCGTAGCGCATGGCGGAGTGGATGCTCTCCGGAGGCTGCATGGGCATCGCGGCGTCGAGTTCGGACTCCACATCGGCGATCAGAGAGGTCCAGTAGCGGCGCAGGTCGAAGGAAGCAGAGGCGGAGGGAGCGGCAGAGGACGCCCGGGCGGTGAGCAAGCGGCGGGAGTTGGAGGAAGGGACCTTGGGGACGGAGAGGGTGATGAAGAGGGAGGAGAGAGCCATGGCGATGGAGAATTTGGGAGGATTGGGGTTCGGATGTGGTTTGCTGAACTTTTTTTTTGGGTGCGTGGTGACTGCGATGTCGCCAGTCGTTGGATTGGTTTTTTCTCCGCTCATCCCCACTATCGATATCGAGGCCTCAGCAGTCAGCCCTGCAAGGACAATGTTGGGCAAAAATTACATTCAGGCCCCGTGGTTCACGGGTGAAGCTAGAAATCGAGGGAAGCCATTATAAAAGATCATAATTTTTTATGAGCTATTAAAAAGGTTTAGTGAACTTTAGCGTTACTGTTTCAATTTTTGTTTACCCTCTATGCCACTGTCATCAGATTAGGCTCTAACAGTATCAAACTGTAGGTGTGAAAGGTCAAAAATACCCTTATGTCTAAATATGTCATTAATTTTTTTTGAGCATCTTAACGATTTCAAATGAAAAACTCAAAACTAGAAAGTTAAAGATCTCGTCGAGATCTACAATTTTCATATAAAAATTATCTTCATTTAATTCTGCAAAAAAAAGATATGATTTGATATGATTAATATATCTTAGAAAATTTGTATCTTTTTTACGAAGATAATTTTTGTATGAAAATTACAGATCTCGACGAGATCTACAACTTTCTAGTTTTGAGTTTTCCATTTGGAGTCGTTAAGATACTAAAAAAATTAATGACATATTTAGACCTAAGGGTATTCTCGACTTTTCTTACCTGCAGTTTGACAACGTTAGAGCCTGATCTGACGGCAGTGGCATGGAGGGTAAAAAAAATTTGAGCAGTGGCACTGAAGTCTGCCGAATTTTTTCAGTGGCTCACAAAAAATTGTATTCTTTTTTAGTGGTTCACAGGGAATTCCCTCATATAAATTTCATAGGATCGAGGATTCCTTGCGAATAGCACTGTTGATGCCTTTGGTTCACGGGAATGGAGCAAATGAAATCCATAGCAATACTGTGTGAACCCCATAAAAAGGATGAAACTTAACATCCAATCAAACCTCTTTTTTGTGCGAAGACCGAGGCAACTCTTCTTGTTACTCGTACCAAAGACAGGCAACAGTAAGTAGCAAGAATAAAAAAAGGTATAATACTAGTGACTAGATGACTAAGAAATTAGATAACTGTTACAAGCATGTGTTCTTCCTTTCCTATGTTCCAAACAATCATTTCTATTTCTATCCTCTGTGTTTCCACTGCAATCCTATCATATCCCTGCATTTCTCCTATTCCTGCGTTGCTCCGATCCTGCGTTCCAAAGAGCCCTCAGCCAGGTCCGTTCTTGCGCGACTCTATCACCGAAACCTATCTTTGATTATAAAAAATAAAAAAATTCATGTTTAACTTTCGTCCAATCAAGGTAGAGCCCAGATAAATGGATGGTTGTTTTCATTCAATAAATAAATGGATGGTGTCAAGTACTCACTTCGTTTTAATTTTTCATTTTATTTATGCCTTACTTCAAATTTATTGAACTTTAAATATTTAAACAAGTTTTCATAAAATATTAACATATACAAAATAAAATAAATGACTTATTAAAATGTATCTCATGGTGTATATAATGATGAATCTTGTTTGATGTCATATTTGTTTATATTTTTCATGGTGGAAACTAGAGAAGTTTGAGATGAGACAAAACTAAAGTGACTTACAATATGAAACAGGAGTATAGTATGAAACAATGTTACATTTTTCATTTAACTTTAGAACAGGTCCCATGTACGAATATTACCGTTCCCAGATATCTCTATCCACCCATTGGTAGGGATGAAAATGGTGAGACAACACTATAATACAGATTTTTCTGTTTTATGAAAATAACTACCGGAAAAACTGTTGTGCTATGTCACAAAACGTTAACTTTCTTGTTTTGGTAAAAGCGAAAAATGATCAGAAATGGTATCATAACACAAAAAACGACTTTCACGTTTCTTTCATGTTTGAAATGGTATCCTACTTCAACAAAACGTCGATTATAGTTTGGAACTGCAAAACCTTTTGTAGCGCCATAACCCCAAAGTCATGGACTATCCTTCCAAGCTGCCTTTCATTTGTGTGAACCTCAGAACAGGCACATAAAATAGCCACTCATTTAACTTGAATCAAGCTCCAGTCAATTTTCTGTGCGGAATTAACCTGTTATTGCACCTAACATTGATCATGTGCCTTGAAATTTATTTGATTTAGTTAAAATATGGTTAGACCAAGTTCAATTAAATCCAACAAAAAATAGCTAACTTATTATCATTGGTACAGGCGAGTCGGCCGCTCAACAAACTTTGTGTCATTGAAACGTAAGAGCACATTTACTAGTTTGAATAAAAAATATTAACATTTATCATACTAAACAATTATCATTAGATTCGCCATGGGATATACTTTTATATTATATATCTACTTTAGATCATAAATGTTAATACCACTATAAAATAGTTAATTTAAGATAGTTTGACATAGTATCAGATTTTGGATAAAACTCAAGATACCTTTTGTTCTGGCTTTTTTTATAAACTCCTTTGTTCTGGCTTTGATAAGGAGTCAAGGAAAAGGCTCCTAGTGTCCATGGCTGTGAGGTTTGAGGTTCATATGATTCGAGACTTCAGTGTTTTATATTACAGAGAGCTCCTGTTATTTTAGAGCCACTGTGTAATAAAAGAATGATATTATTGGACATTGCAAGAATGACACAATCATGAACACATATAGAGAACAAAGAAAAAATAAGGAAGGAGCAATAAGCATATGTTCTAACCCTACTCTAAATAGGCATCAGCACTGACAGTATTCCACCTTCTCAATGAATTAGAGCCGGTTAAATATACTCCTGCCCATGAAATTTGTCCAGCTGGATGGAATGTTCTTTTAGGGCTTGTTTACCATCTCAATCCATCGTAACACATGTGAATTGATATAAATCCGACCATATACAAATAAGGCCTCAATCTATATATATTGGGGTGGAATTTGTACACATGGATTGAGGTGCATTGATGAATATCCAAACAAGGCCGTCACCTCTTTTTTTCCCAATAGATTATGAATTGACTCGAGACATGAAGAGTGAGGCACCTCCTTGGTTATTGCACTCGAAAGGGGATGAAGGGCTTTTCAAGAAGGCCTCATCGATTTGAATATATTTTCAGGATTTTAGCAAGAAAGAACAGATCTAGCTAACACAGAATGCGCGCTAACATGGTGATCCTGCCCAAGCTTGCTCTTACTTGACATGCAACATGTTGAGTATTTTCTCCAAAGCAAACAAAAGCATCACACCAATCCCAATGAACCCTGCTAACGGCCAGATGGTAGCATGTGTTCAGCGACTGTCACACCAACTTATATTACATTACCGGGGTACTTCAATCTAGCGTTTTTTTTTTCCTTGGCATCTTATGTTTCACATAGCACACACTGCTATGACCAGAAACAGTTTCCCATGTGTCAGATACCGGTCACCATCTTCAGGCCTTATATACACCGAGGGAAGTGGGTTTCACCAACGTAGCCTCCAGCCATCGCCCTCTGAACATTTTTCTCAAACTTTTTCGGGTCATCGCGGAGAACAGCTGCTGCATCATGGTTCAGGGGGTCCTCGTCATTAGGTTGCTGCAACATGATTTTTTGAATATGATTAGCAACTAGATGCCAAATGATGAAGCAAACATTGTATAAGTAGCTTCTGCTCCATAACACAAATGTAAGTGAACCAATGTCAAAAACAGTGAAATAAAGTCGAGATAAATCTTCTGCCAGAAGTCCAGAACTAAACACAGATCTGCTTTCATAATGATGTATTGTTGTATTTCTATTCCTATACATAGTAGCTATCTAGCAGAACTGAACACAAATCAGCTTTCATAACGATGTAATATTTCTATTCCTATATATAGTAGTTGTCTCAGTAACTCACCGAGAAAAGAAGATTCAAACCATACACAATGGTGTTGATGTTCAGGACAGGCTTCCAATCTTCACGCAGAATGTTCAGGCAAACATTTCCCTCCAAGTCAATATTGGGATGGTAAACCTTGCATGTTACAAAAACTGAACATCAGTACACAGAATGACAGGTTACAATCGAGAGGTGAGTTAATTTTACAGATGGAGTTCTTCCTAGTTACCTTAGTCTTGCACTTGACTTTAGGAGGCTCATGCGGGTAAGCTGGAGGAACTTGGAAGGTAAAAACAAATTTTCCACCCCTAACAATAGGCATTTGCACATTAGAAAACAAGGTTAGCAATAAGGCATATATATTGAAACAGGGGAAAGAAAATTAAAATTAAATAAAAGTACTCCTGAGTTCATATCACGAACTTCTGAGTTCTGAGTAATTTCGTTACTTCTGAGTAATGAATTTCAGTCCGCCCGTGGTGCAAAAAACAAACAAACTTCTGCTTCTGATTTTGAGTAAAAGCAATATCTAAGGATCAAACGTTCACCAACCTAACTAAAAAGCAAACCAACAAAAGACAAAAGGGCAAATCTCCTCAGTTTACTTCAGCAGGCAATTAGGAATGTTGTGGTATGATAAGCAAGAATAGTATTGTAAATGGTGTTGAATAGTCATCACCCAGGCAGAGCCTAGGTGTCCAAGCATGCCCCCTCTAACACTATAAGATGCCAAAAACCTCAGAATATCCAGCAAAGCATATCATTCTATTTGGCCCAAGTGGAAATATATCAAAATTCCTAACAAAAACCACCCTAACAAGGGTATGCCCCTCCATGCTCAAAACTCTATCTGGAAAACATTCAATTCCATTTTATATCTATACGGAGTAGATGCACGATGCGATATCTACATGCAAAATTAGGATAAAATGGGCAAAGCGCATGATGAATATCTACGCGATGAATTGCATGAGGAAATTATGTCATTCTCCTCAGGACCACTTACATGTAGTATCCTTCATCAGGCTTAATAGTGCACTCAAAGTTCATCAGATCATCCTTGCCATTCGGAAAAGTAATCTTAGTTGTCTTGGGAAGGTTAAGTTCAGCTATATCTGCCAAAAAAAAAGTGAAGTGACAGTAAATAACCACCTAAACCAACAAATGTGCAACACAAGAAAGAACTAGTCTTAAGATATACAGAAGTGTCAATGCAAGTTAAAAAGAACCAAAAAATAATGGCGAAAAACAAGAAAGCATTCAGTAAGCCAAGCTGAAAAGTACTGCTCGCTGATTTGTTGTTTACAGAAAAACAATATACCATGGCTGATAAGCCAGGCTGATAAGTTCAAGTGAACAGGGCTTTGTGGAGACAACAGTGAATCAGACATACAATGAAGTTTAGAACAACACGGCTTTGAAAATGACAAACCTTTGTGGAGACGCAACTCCCCTGGACTTTGCTTCTTAGCAGCAGGCTTTCCATTTGTATTCGCAGCATCACCCTTCTTCTGGTCCTTTATCTTAAAAAGGTTTATCATTTTCCCTATGCAAGAAACTAATCAGTTAGCATATTCAACTGATATAAATAAGCATGGCTCAGCTTCATCTGAATTTGCCAATAATAGCCATGGATCATGATGCAATTTGCCTATAATAGTCATGGCCATGTTATCAGTTTCAAGATTAGCATAGCATGATTCTTGAATTATTTCCTTATCATTTTCCGATGCAAACCAATAATCAGATAGCTTCATCTAAAGTTGGAATTCATAAACTCACATGGAACCTGAGAAAAGTGCAAAAAAAAAAAGAACGGCATGTAAGAGTTATTCAACAGAAGCATAATATTTCTATATGGCGCTGCAGAAACAATCATCGCCTGATTCCGAAGCAGCTCAGGCAGCATGGGCGGATCCATTAAAGGGACATGGGTGTACACATGTACACCCAATAATTTTTGCAAAAACTTCGAAGTTAGGAGGCTTGTCATCAAATAGCTAAATAGCTTTAGGTTAGGGTTTCGGTGCTCCTCTTCGCACGGCATGAATGGAAGAGAAGGGGTGGGTGTACCTGTTGGGTGATCGTCGCCGGTGAAGAGACCGACGAAAGCCTCAGCACCTGGCTTACGGCGGCGGTGGCGGCCCACCAGTCGTCGGAGAGCGAGAGGGGGGCGAGAGAGACAGACAGAACACGCGCGGAGGGGACGGGCGGAAGGGGATGCAGTGCCGGCCGGCCCAGTCGGGTTTCGGGTCTCGTTGGTTGTTGTTGGACGCGGGCACGCAACCTTCTTCTGCGCGTTTTTCTAATCACACATTTCTTTGGAAAATTCTTTATTGTTATTATTTTTCTTTCTCTCCCTTTTAAATTTTTTTTCTTGATTCCATATCTCTCCTCTTCATTCATGGGACACGATAATGGCTAGTACAACATGGGTTTTAAATAATAGAAATAATAATGATATTTATGAGTATATAGTACATTGTAAATAAGCAAATGAAACTTTTCATATTTTATTAAGGTTGAACATTTTTCTATTGAAGCTATATAGGCCATTTTCACAAGAACATATAACAATTTCACAAACCAATAATGTTTATAACAATAATTTCCTCAAATAGGAATACTTTTCTTTCTAAACAAATTTCCAAATGAACATGAATTTTTTTTGTGCTGTGCTAAGCATAGAACAATGGTTCCCGTGAACCAGGAACGTTGCTATCCTCAATAAAAAAAATGATACGAACTTACTAAAAAATGTTTTCCATACTCCAACGAGAACTACTGACACTTTTAATATCTCGTGAAAAAAGTTGAGTCTTCCTAGCACTCCTTTTGCATTCTACAATTTACTTTCTAAGGATTTTTATCTGCAGTAGGGTTAAAACTTTGGTTGTAAAATATTTGTGTGTGTTACAATAGCCGCACTTTGTTAAGCTTAAACGAATTTGGCTAAGTGTTGTGTTTTTATCATCCGCAAGGCACAAAAGAAAGTAGAGGCATATAGTGACAAGCCCATAGGAAAACCAACCAAAAATAAAGGTATACAAGTTGAAAATGCAGACCTTGTTATGACTTATGGGGCAAGAGAAAAAGGAGGCTTGACATGATAGGACGAGTAGATATAGTCTGACGATAGATACAATTATGTATTTAGAAAATATTATAAAATAACAATAATGCATATTTAAGAAACTAGGAATGTTGCCACTCTTTACATGAGACAAGCTATCCTTTATGGAACAGACTTTTTTTCCTACAGGTAAAATATTTTTTACTTACCCTTTAAAGTAGAATATTTTTTTGGTTAGAAACAAGAAGTTGGAGGGGTGCGGTTTCTGTAAGAAAGGTTTCCAGAGACACTAATTCTGAAACAGTTTTCCCTAGTTTCTGGTGGAATCCAAGAAACATTTTTTGTTGTCTTCAAATCCCTGAATCATTTGTTAGGGAGTCCCTAGTTTCTCCCCAGAAACGGTTCTGTTCGGTAAGGATTCTCCAGTTTGTGGAGTCTGGAGATAAACAATTTATGGAAACAAGGCCTTTGTGTCATGTCAGCGGTTTTGATGTCCCACATGTCATTGTCATCCCCACCCTTCTTCTACCTCTCCCATCCTGGCTAGGACAACATGCGGTGGCAGCGCCCCTCGTGATAACTGACTCATCGAAGGCCAAAGGCGGATCTAGTGACCCCATTCTACAAGGCAGCATCTGTCTCGATCGTGGGGGCGTGTCACACCCCAAAATTTCCAATTTTGGGTTGTGCAAAGAAAACACTAAATAAAATAAATTATTTTAATATTTGGATAAAATTTATCAAGTTTAGTTTGAGCTAGCGCAAATTTAGTTATACGAAAAATGTGAATTTTTAAAGTTTTCTAATTTTCACGGGTTTTTGGATGATGTGATGTTCGCTTGTTGCTTCATTGTGTGTTGAGAGTGAGCAAAGTCTTTAAAATATTTTTGTAGGTCGATTTTTCTTCTCCGGCACGCCTTTATCTCTTTCTACAATCAAATTCTTTGTTTCTCGGCTCAAGTTTTCGTTGGGAGCTTACTAAAATCTTTTCTTTGTAACGCAAATCACTCCTTTCAGTTCCTCGTCCGTTCATCAATCTCTACAAACTTCTCAGGAATTTTTCTAGCCTTTTCTAGAACTTGTTCCTACTTGTCTATGAGCATAATTTAATTTTTAGATGCTCCAAATTATCTAATCATTGGCTCCAAATACTTTATTTGGGTTCATCATGTTTTATAATGTCTCTGAGAATTTTCTCCGAATTTTCAGAGCTTTCAGAGTATTTTTCGCGGCTTAAATAATAATTCTAGACTTTTCTGGAATTATTTTATCCACGAAATTCATTAATTCCGAAAATAGTAATTCTCTCATTTTTTTCCAACGCTCAAAGCCCGTGTGCAATAATCCTAATAAATCCTAAAGGCCCATGTATTTTTTTACTAATAGGTTTTAATGATTATTTAGGCCCATTAGGGTGCAACATCAATTAGTACCATATTGCTAGTTAATGTAGATATGGAGAGTTTTTCTTTCTATAAATCTGTACCAATCCCTTGGGCAAAGCACACCAAAACTATCGTATCGGGAGCCCCTAGTTTGGGAAATCCCTCATGTAGTAAATTAGATTTTTCTTATCCTTCTCTCGCCGTCGCGCTGCCCAGCCCGGCGCTGCGTCGCCGCCAGTCGGCCAACAGGCCCCGCGGCCAAGGTCGTCCTCGACTCCCCCCTCCGTGAGCAACAGCAGCCTCCTATGGCCATCGCTGTTCTGTACGTTCTATTGGTGATGACGATCCAAGCTTGAAGATGAGGTATTTACGAGTTCGCCACCGGTCGTTAAATAATCGTAGTTTATTCATTTTAGTTCCGTTTCTGTTCGTTCCAGTTGCGTTAGTTTCATGTCGTCGAGATCTACGCAGTATAGTTATTAGTTTTCATATCACATGTTTATGAATTTATTTTATTAAAATGTTAATTGTGCCTATAATTAATTAATCGCTGATTAATTAAAGTCGATTTAGGTTTTTGATTTTGATTCGATTGCGCGAGTTTCATCACAGTGTGTGTTACGTGTTAGCAGCGATGTTTAACATGTCTCATATCTTGGAAATTTATAAGTTAAATATTAATTTGATTAAGGATTATTCAATAACTTTTAATTAAAAGCAATTTAAGTTCTAATTCCGTTTTGCACCGTTTAAGTTGTGTTTGGTTCGTGCTGACATGAACTATATGTTAGGGGCAATGTTTTTCATGTGACACGTTTTTCCATTTATAGCTAAATATTAAATTGATTAGTATATTTGCGCACTAGTTTAGAATTAAAAGCAATACAGGTGCTTAACTTTGATAATTTATACCTAAAAGTTAATATGATTAATTGTTAACTTAAAAGTGTTTCTAGAATATAATTTGATTAGCTGAACAACATACATATGTGATAAGTACGAGTAGATGCTGTCACATGCTTAATTCCTTCGTGAAGGTAAAGTTTAATTTGTTATGTGATAACATTTATAAATAATACATGATTAGCTTTAACTCGACTTTTAAAACTAAATATGTTGTGATTAATCTAAATCAACATTGCTCATATAGTTTTCTTAGCTAACCTAAAACAAGCTCGTAGTTGTTTCTTTTATAGTATAATATAAATCTTTTGATGGTGGTTTTCTTTTAACCATACCTCCTTTCTTAGTGTCTTTTGCGTTCTCATAACCGTAGCATCGAGCCATTCTTGTCGCGTTACTTTTGTTTCGACGTGTTCTACACAGTGGCGTTAGTGGTTCTCATGTTACTCAAATGTGTTTTGACGGTTAAAAAGTTAATTGTAATAATACTATCACTTGCATCATTTTCAGAATATAAAGTCAATATAGGTTTTATACTACGCTCTTTCTTAAGCAATGAATCAAGTTGATTAATGAGAATATTCACATGTGTTTCTACAGTTAAAATAAGTTTAATGGATAGGTTTTATTTTCTGTTGCTTCGATAGTCGCTTTTTCGTTGAATCGCATATAGCGTGTCTTTTGCGTTTTTGTGTTCGTAGCGATACGCCGTTTTGCTTATTTTATTGGTTGATGTACTGTTCTCGTATATTCTTATTTGTATGTCATGTATGGATGTTGGTGTGGTGATATATGGTTCAATCAATCGGTGAGGTTTACGTGGTGATTAAGAAGTTGTTCTCTGAAGACTAGAAGCTGAGAATTGGAAATAGAAGATTGAAAGTTGAATACTAAAGGCTTTTGAGCGTATTGTTTTGGGGGAAAAGCAAGTTAAGACAAGTGTACCAAAGGCCCCTTGTTATCTATGAACTATTACCACTTACATTCATGCATGTGTTTAATTTGAAATGCCTTTAAGGACTTTACCTAGATGATTCCTTGTACCACATATCTTTGATACCTGAGGTTGTTGGGTAGGCATTTTGGATAGATGCTGCAGCGCTAAACATAAAATAATTGTGAAACATGATTAAAGGCTATATGCAATGTGATAAAATGGAGCTTTTTAGCAATAGATAGG